AGAGAGAGAGAGAGAGAGAGAGAGAGAGAGAGAGAGAGAGAGAGAGAGAGAGAGAGAGATGAATATGTATAGAGAGATAGAAAGAGATACAGATCAAGAAAGAGAGAGAGCACCAATGAAAGAGCAAACAACAAAGAAAGACTAACATGAACATTAAAAAAAAGAAGTTTAATATCGACATTATTCATTCGATTAAAGTGAGGAAGTGCCCACACTATGGTCAACGCATAATTATCGCGTAATTGAATCCAGCTTGACTTAAAAAAACATAATTATGTTAAGGCAAGATTGTTTTTCTCTCTCTCTCTCTCTCTCTCTCTCTCTCTCTCTCTCTCTCTCTCTCTCTCTCTCTCTCTCTCTCTCTTTCTCGTTCTCTCTCTGTCAAAAGCCGAATCCAAAGTTCTCTGATAGGGCGAGTTCGATAGCGCGATTAGTCCAGGAGAAGAGTTAGTAGACTAGGAGTTGGTAGGGGAAAATTGGTGCGTGGAGGAAAGGAAACGGTGACATGAACCTGGGCGACGGATCGCGCCAGGTACATGCATGTTGAAAAGGGGTGATGGCGGGGCGAAGAACGCAGTGGCATTGTTGTTTTTTTGCACTAGGAGGTTAGCCTGACCGGGGTTACTACTACAGACTACATGAGGGAGAGGGCATATTGAAGTATGGAAGCATCTATTCGCCTCTTAGCGGGAAATTCGTTCGAGAGTTACTCAGCACTGTCTAAGGGAGGGGTGTTAGACCAGTCGGGGAGAAGGTGAGGATGAGGAGGAGGAACGAAGTAACAGAGAGAGAAAGAGCTTACCTGGAATTCGCGAAGTTCTCTAGGTTGGTTGCTCGCCTCTCATCCCGGATGTATGTAACCAGGATTGCGGTCATGTGCGTGGAAGGATTAGTGGGAAGGGAGACAGAGGTGAACAGGATTAGAGGAACGGGAAAGAAAGGCAAGGGAAGGGGGACGTCCATGGTCGTTGTTAGTAAAAGGTTCATCTTGTTCTTGCTCAGCGGTGGGGGAATGGCAGTGTGGTCGGAGACTTACCTGTTGGCTCTCTCTCTCTCTCTCTCTCTCTCTCTCTCTCTCTCTCTCTCTCTCTCTCTCTCTCTCTCTCTCTCTCTCTCTTT